TTAACAAATGAACACCCGCCCATTGGGCATAAACCTTAAAAGTAACATACCTTAAAAGTGCTTAGCTGACTGACTTAGAGACCACATGGCAGAATGACAGTAAGGAATAACGCACATGTACAAGCTACGCTTAAAAGCTTTTACTTAAAGACCTATATGCAATATGATAATTTGATTATAAAATATAATATCTATCGAGGTTGTAAAATATTTCGTTCAACGATTGAATCCACAGATCAGAGAGCATACAGCAAAGCAGGATGAAAGGCATCTTCGCCGAAGGCAGAGAAGCAAGGTTCATTGAGCTGGGCGCACAGCACGATTGAGTAACCAGTGACGAATAGTGGCTACAGTAGAATGCTATCCTCTGGATTGTAAAAGACCTCTCGAAGCCTCTCCAAAACGATGCAGCAATCTCGTTTCTGACTTACAAGAACCATTGCGGCATAGAAAGTCACGAACGGGCAAAGAAGTGAGGAAGATCTGTGTCTGGTACAAACTCTGACTGCTAATAAGTGGTCGGCCAAGCAGATGTAGCAAATATATCATGCAGCGAAACCAAACACCAGATATACGGCATATTGTAATGCACTTTGCACCTACTCCATTGAGGCACTTTAAACTCAATAGCCTTCGAACACCTGCGGTATCATAAGATCGTCGTCTCCTGGCTAGGAGAAGTCCGTATCTTGTTCATCGTAAATGGGGCAACACGCTGCAAAATAGAAGAATTAAAGCCATGTTAATGTAGTATCTGCATTACACGCATACACAGTTGAAGCGATATATAATATTCTGTAACGAAATGGCGCGTAACCATTCAGTCACAACTATTCAACCAGCAATGCATGGCTTCCAATTTGTCGCCTTTAAGGAATTTGACTTATAATAAAATCTGAAGCTTAAACCCTTTGTCTACCCCTTCGCCTGAACACCTAGCGTTAATTCACTATTTGGCAGTCAGGACTCGTCTCTCTCTCTGACTCCTTCTCTCAACAATTCTGACATCTTGCAAAAGCTGAGTTTAAATTTTAACAAAACGGTGATTAAATTTCGAGCATTTTATTATCTTAGTCTTTAAATTTTAGACGCTGTTGAAAGGGAGTGATTGAAATTTACGCATCGATTGACTGACCATGAACTGTCATCAAAGAAGATATAAGATTTTCAAACGATGAGCATTCTATGTCGTATATGTACCATAGTATGTTGTACTATGCTAAATTACCATTGTATGAGCAAGGGATAACGTAAATACTGGGATGTCTTCCATAAATGGTAGTTTCCAATTCCGGGTAAAGATAAAATGCTAGTGCATTTTATCAGACTTATGCGCCGCAATCGCCTTATCCATCTGCTCGTAGATGCATAGAGGACCAATCAAGCAGGTCGTGACTCCGTGGATTGTCTATGTTTTACACATGTATGTCCGATCTTCATAGGGTATGTTCTTCAGATTTGCTATACCGATATTTTTTGCAGCAATGAATCATAAATCTTTTACAGAAAATATATTGAAGTTTCTTTTAGAGCTTCGAGCAGCTTTTCAAGAATTTGACATTGACGGAGACGGCTACATAACGAAAGATGAGCTAGGGAAAGTGATGAACCAGCTGGGCTTGGAAACCAATGATTTGGAGGTGAAAGCAATGTTCAGGGCGGTCGATACAGACAACGACGGAAAAATTACGATGAACGGCAAGTGATTATGTTAATTAATTCTTCAAATGCTTTAAGAGGTTTATTACAGGTAGTCATTGATAAAAAACTAAACATTTTCTCGCCTGCTAGATGCCGTTCTTCAAATCATAGAAAAGAAATGTCTGGACATTAGGGTCATCTGAAATGAATCAGTTGAATATAATTGAATATAACATTTGATTCAATTCATACAGATATACACATGACCTTTTACGCTTATTTCAATTCTTATTCGTCTTCTTAAATAAGTTGCATTTTCCAGGGTTCTAGACACGATGAAACACGTAGATGGTACTTTATTATAGCCTCCAAAATTTCAGCCTAACTAAAACGGCCACCCTCAGCTCAAAAACTGAGTTTTAGAAAGCGAAGTAGCTGTGCCCAAAGTGGTGACTACGATATGCGCACACATTCTTGAAAGAGAGATCAGCAGCAGTCGAAAAATCAAACAGGCAGAGCCATTAGTTACATCCAATGCCCTATAAATGTCAGACGAATTGACCGTGCGGTTGCATCGCCCACTTGAGCTCGCTGACATGCTCAGTGATTCTCTGCTCAGCAATTTCCCTCTGTATCTTACTGATCGATCACGTGACATTTGCCTCGTTCGGTCGACTGTGATTTTCTAGAACATGGACAACAAAACTAGAGTGTTCCGGATGGCGAAATCTGATTGCTCTTTTGTGAACGCTAATTGCTATTTTCAGGGCTATGAAGGTTTTCTCAGTATAAATGCGCGCACAACCTTCACATTT